AACTTATGCGCCAGGGCACTCGATCACCGCCACGGCCGTATCGGTCCGTCTACCCTCTACCAGTCATTGGCGTGGGATGATGACAGCGATCCCTACAGTATGAAATCAAGACCGCTTCGTATGATCGTCGCGCTGACTTGATTGAAAATCTCGAGCATCTCTTCCTGATCTCTTCTGCCAGTCAGCAACAATTCCCGCTGCTACTGGCTCAACGATGTACATATCGCAAATCCCGGATGAGTCTATAGACCGCGTCGTGCCTCGCCATCCTTATAATAATCTGGGGTGGTCTGCATACTTCGCCAGAGATCAGCGCAGCAAAACTCCATGGTGGCTACCCGATGGCTGCGATCCACTCTCCCATTATATCGGATTGCCACCGCGACTCACTAGAATGCTCTCGTCTCAGGAACATAGCAGCCGAGTCTAAGGTAACGTCGTTTGAGTCTTGCATCACTGTTGCGGCTTGCTCAGCAGCGGTGTCAGTTGATTGTGAAATCTGCTCCCCTCGGCAACAGCCTCATCATGCAACTTGGCACGGTATACATGTGCGCCAGAGCCCAGGCTGCGTCGCAAATTAGCATCCGTACGCTTAAACAATCATCCAAATGCGATCCATCGTCAGGCATAACGGTCCGAGTTGACCACAACGACAGACAAGGATCTCTGCAGGTCGCTGCAGTGATGTCAAGTCTGTGGCAAGGCCAGGCATCCCAGCGTATAAAAGGAGAGCTATGTCTACCGCATTCCTCAGCTCCTCTTCTCCTTTCCTTCTGAGCTCAACGAGTAGGTTGCCGGCAAGTAAGTGTCCAGCGACAGTGACAGTTTGAATATTGCATTTACCTCTCACACCGTCTAGCCTTGCTCTTTCTTCTTTGACGACCCACGTTTCTTCCAACGGAAAACTTCGTAACGACCCCAAGTACTGCATACAGAACACCATGCGTTACTCTGCGCTTGCCTCTGCCATCCTACTGGCGGCGACGACAGCTCCCGCACTTGCTCGCCCAGTCACCATGTGAGCCTCTCTCGTCATTTATAACATTAATCCACGGCTGACCGTGCGGTAACAGTCGCTCGACTGAGGATGCCTCGCTATTCCAGCGGGAGTTTCAAGACGAACTCGTGGAGCGCGGCTACTACTACGACGACCTTGTCGCTCGGAGCCGGGGGAGCCCCCCTCCGCCCCCGCCCCCTCCGCCAAACACGCCGGCGGGATCCCCAAAGCCGAAACCGAAGCCTCTGCCTCTGCCGAAGAAGATGCGGGCGGGGAACTGGCATCGGGGCCGGAGCGACTATGAGTGGTCCGCCCGAGAGTACGACTTGGACGGCGAGCTGTTCGAGCGCGGCTACTACGACGACCTTGTCGCTCGGAGCCGTGGGAGTCCCCCTCCGCCCCCTCCGCCTCCGCCAAACACGCCGGCGGGATCCCCGAAGCCGAAACCGAACCCTCTGCCGAAGCCGAAGAAGATGCGGGCGGGGAACTGGCATCGGGGCCGGAGCGACTATGAGTGGTCCGCCCGAGAGTACGACTTGGACGGCGAGCTGTTCGAGCGCGGCTACTACGACGACCTTGTCGCTCGGAGCCGTGGGAGTCCCCCTCCGCCCCCTCCGCCTCCGCCAAACACGCCGGCGGGATCCCCGAAGCCGAAACCGAACCCTCTGCCGAAGCCGAAGAAGATGCGGGCGGGGAACTGGCATCGGGGCCGGAGCGACTATGAGTGGTCCGCCCGAGAGGACGACTTGGACGGCGAGCTGTTCGAGCGCGGCTTGGAGATAGATGAGCTCGACTGAGCGGATGTAGCGCGATGGGCAGCCGTTACGTTGTATTCCTAAACTGTTGTACGCATCGTGACTGCTTGCAATGACGATGTGAACGTAAAGACAAGGTCATGAGTGCTCGAAATTTTGACGACTTGTTAGGTGTTGCTGCTTTTAATCATACAGGCCAACCACCTCGAACTAGAAGGGTATCAGCCAGTTGCTACTGAGTTCACGCATTCGCTGGCGAGTGATGACCTTACTCGCGCGGGGTGCGATGTGTGATATACGCCACTAGACTCCCGGTACAGTGCGCCCTAATAGACGAGGACAGCTGTCAAGAAACTCGCACACAAAACGGGCGAACGGACAGTGAGGCGATGTCATCTATCATTCGACTCGTTGATGATACATGATAGCTAGCGTACAAATCTTCAGCGATACTTCCCTTCCGTAGATCCTTCACGAGTCGAAGAACGTGGCCTATATTGCGCATGAGCGTACTATGAACATCATGACTGCGGACCAAGACACTCACGAAGACACGGTGGTGAACCTTCGAGCCCTCCGTATCGATAGCCTTGATCTCCTCAGGAGTGAGGCCAGGAAGCGCCTCCGCAGCCAGGTACTCCTTGACACGGGACGCTTTCGAACTCGTTCTACGAGCGCACCCGAGTCAGCACGCTTCTCACTCATAAATCAAAAAAATCACACGAACGTGATGGTGACGACGCCCTTCGCTTTCAACCAGAGCTGCAAGACCTGTCCTTCCGTGACCGTCGTGCCCGCCTCCTTGCTGAGCCGTGCGGCGGCAGACTTGAGCACCGGGTCGACTGGACCACCCTTGAAACGCACGATGGGCGTCAAGCCACCGTATGACGTCGGGGTGATGTTGTACTTCTTCATGAACTCGATCACAGGCTGATCGGCCTTGTAGACGTAAGGATGGTACTCGATCTGTGGAGCGCATCAGCGGGATCGGATTGGGGATCAGCGCTAGCACTCACCTGGTTCACCGCCGGGATGACCTTCGCCGTGGGCAGGATCTCCTCGAAATCCTTCACGCGGAAGTTGGAGACACCTATCGACTTCGCCAAGCCCTCCTTTTGGATCTCCTCGAACTGCGCCCAGATCTCAGGGAGAGGCGTTTCGTGGTTGTTCGGGAAGTGGACAAGGAAGAGGTCGACGTATTCCGTCTGCAGCTTCTTCAGAGACTCGACGAGTGTGTCGCGGACCGTCTGGCCAGCGGGGATGACGTTAAGCTTGGTCGTGATGTAGAGCGACGAGCGAGGCTTCCCCGAGGAGACGATGCCGGCGCCGAGGGACTCCTCGTTGTTGTACATCTGAGCACCATCGAGGTGAACGACGCCGGTCTGGATGGCCTGGCGGACTGTGTCCTCCGCGTCCTTCGCGTATAGCGCAGTGCCAGTGCCGAACCCCAGGCTAGGGATCTTGGTGCCGTCGTTGAGAGTGATGGACATGATGGGACGCGGATTGGAGACGACTGGTCTGGTGGTGAAGCGCCTGAGGAAAGACCTGAGAAAGGACATACTGAGGACGACGTCGACTATATACTATATAGGCCCTCCAGGACGGCATGACGCTCTATCTCGGCCTCGATCGGATTGGATCCTCCGCAGGGGATGGCCCGAGAGAAGGGGCGCACCAGTGACCGCTGCGAATGAGCAAGATGGCGCACTGGGTCTTAGACCATCGCCTCTTCCACTGACACCTTACACAGGCCCTCCTGACTAAGTTTCCCACTCTTGGCGCTGGAATGACTTCACAAGAAGTCGTGGAACTGGCAGTGGTCCCAGGCAGGTGGCACTTATTCTTGTCCTCGGACGTCTTCCGTCGGCGCCACATGTGGGGGTCTGAACCCAGGTTCTGGCGGTATACCAATGCTGCAAGGTTTACAGTAGAAGACCACCATGTGAAGCGCGAGCTCATTGCCCATGTCCAGAATACTATCAGCAGACCAACCAGATCGTGTATGTGTTCAACATCGTCTGAGTTTGCTGCGCGACACACTGGCAGGCGCCCCCGTCACCGGGCGTCTGATCTGACCAAACCTGCCCTAAAGCAGTCCGTCCGCATAAATCAGCCACGTCGGCGTTTTGCCCCTCATCTTTTAACAACTACACAGGCGCTGGTATACCACATGTTGGATCGTCTCCCCCATGACGATTCTCCATCTCTCAGCAGCCTCAGAGCAACCTCCACGGTCCACTCTTTGGCCGGTCCTTCTGGCGGCGATACGCCATGTAGATAGAACGGTCACCTGGTGGTTTCGACAGATCTTGCTGTCTGCTAAGGCTCGATGTATAGTGGTAGTCGCGATGTTTACCTTGTAGAATGAATATATGAAGAGATTGCTCTGCCATCTTGCATGTGTACGAGAATACCGAAATCTGTATGCTTGCGACGGCGAGCACCGTTATGACACTGCCTCAGTGGTACTCGGCGCCACATAACTTTACAAACGGAATCTGTAGTCATCGGGCAACGGGCTCATCAAAGACGGCCCTATTCCACTTACACACATGGACAGCGATGGAGAACATGAGCTGGCGAACTCGTCGGATCTGCCAGTCTGAATATAATGTGCACTTACCTATGTGTCGAAGTGCTCGAACAAGCCGGTTCAGCAGCCTCGGGCAGTGGCGCAGTCCCACTAAACAGCACACACCGTCTTCGAGAATCTCGAGTGTGGCGTTGACGTGACGGTTTGAGTTTGATACCATGGGTTACCATAATGAACCGGACGCAGTCGGTGGACTGAGCATAGCATCAACTTGAAAGTATCCGCCTCTCGGCGACGTGGCTGCGGACAGTCGTTCTAGCGTACTAGGGAGCGTGATTTCGATACTGCTTCTGCAGGCCAGCTTGTGGTCCGTCAGTGCACCGGCGGGGAATATGGTTGATCGATAAAGCCTACGGCCGATCGAGTGGTTGGGTTCTCTTACTCGGAGATTGGTCTGGCCATATGAACCCGGACTAAAGATGCCTCGAATTGGTTCAGGAACACTACGTCCTCATCCAACTCTCCAGGGCGAGGACTCCTCATATTTTCTGTTCCACGCAATGACGACCTGAGCCCTTACAGAAACTCATCGATCAGGCAATGTACCGGTGTTTCCGGGCGTAGCAATAGGGGCTGAGCCCCAGAAACTTCAGACAAGGGGCTGTACCAACCTCGTTGCCGGATCACGGAGAAACGCGTGGATCTGCAGACCAGTCCTTGAAGGGAACAACGGACAACCAGAAAAAGGACTCGTTGCGAGCCGAGCCGCTACTTCGGGCGCTCACTACTTTCCTACTTTGGGCGCAGATGTGGACCCACAAAGTCACGTGGGCGCGTTGCACTTGTTACGCGCCTGTGGCTTGGTGGCCTGTGTTCAACTTCTACGCGCGACTGCTCGCTCACTCTTACTCGCACTACTCTGATCTCTCCGCCACAGTAAAGTTCTACTAACTCAAGACACAGAGGTTTTATTGAGCGGCTGGAAGGCGGTCTTCCCGTTGGGGCGTATAGCAGTGAGTGCACGCCGCCACACTTGGCGAGGACGCTTTGATCATGACGCGGATCACGCTGGTCCTAGAATACAACAAAAGCGCCAGCATAGCAACCGTCCTCGTATTTAACCCTCCAGGAACACAGTCAAAGCACATCACATCCCCCCTGTCTGTCACCACCATGTATCTCGATGGCTATTCAGCGTGGATAACTGTCCCTGGACACGAGCTCCGCGAGTTTGACATCGCTGTCGATCAACACAATCGAAGAGTGACGTGTTGGATCCCAAGCGAAGAAGGAGCAGTAAGCGGCGATCATTGTTACGTCCCAACTTGGACTCAATTGTGCTGCAGAAATTCTCTGTTCATTGGCAGGACCACGGCTGGTCCATCCCCACCGCCACCTTCATCAAGCTCGACGGCTACACCGTTCCCGGACACTTCCTTATGGGCACAGGCCATGCTGAGCGTTCGAACATCCGAGTGGGTCTCACCACGGTGAGGCCCTTCATGTTCCAGAGGGTCCCGGAGCGTGAGTAAATCCCACTTCTATTGTACGCATGCCGACCTGTACATAGTCTATATTGGGGCCGTTCCGACGGACACCGACCCTAAGGAGTTGGGTACAATCGTCGTCAAGATTAAGCGTGTGGCCATTGTCGGCAAGCACAGCAAGAATGCACCAATCGTGCCGAGGCCACCACTCGGCGGTCAGCGCTCAGTAGGCGCGGAAGATCCGGTCGGGATAGGGTATGTGGCCTACAATGCAAGCTTATTTTGGCTGACCCTATCCTAGCTACGGTGGCGAGGAGATGGGCCACGTTCAGATGCCCACGACGTGGCAGGTCAAGCCATGGGACAAGAAAGACCCGGGCACCTATGCGACGTTCATCTTCCGTTACCGGACGCGCAGTACGTCGTCTTCGTAGCATCTCGACCTCGTTTTCCGCTGATGTTCGCGTTCCCGCTACAGATTTCCTCATCGCGCAGGGGATCATGTCGGAGTCAGACAGCATCCATACTAGCCTGCACGCAGGGGAGAGTTCGCCGTCGCCCGAGCCCGATGACGACTCGCAGGATGTTGAGTCCGTCCCTCCTAGTCCAACCGAATCGTCCCCGCCTCCTACCCCCGCCCTCTCAGCCATTTCCGGACCCTCGTCTCCTAGGCGTGCACCAAGTGTGAGGCCTCCGAGTCGACCAGTGTCCAATCGTGTGCGTGTGCTCGTCACGGTCTTGTGCCACTGTTATTGACCCTGCGTTGATCTTGTAGAGCGTGTCCCTTGGAGAGCCGCCTCGGCCGAAGTCTACTTTCCCGCAGGCACCCCCGAAGAATTGGACGTCGACGAGCCCGGTACCCCTTCCTCACCCGATCGTGTCGAGTCATGGCCCCCCTAAAGCACAGGAAATCGGCCTGGGCGCACCGCCAACTACCGCAACGAGAAGAGCAGTCATACGTGACGCTACCGCCACAAGGAGCGTCAGTGCTCCGCAGGCCCAAGTAGAGAGCGCCTTGAACACCTCTGCCACTGCGCATAGCGCTGGTGCCGCAAGGACCGCCAGCACCTATTCGTCCGGCGCGGTCAGTTACTACGACCTCAGCAATGCCGGTTCGCAGGATTCCGGTGTCCCCAACTCGTACGATCTTGACACCACCGAGTCTTATGACTTCAGCACTATCGAGCCCTTCACCATCGGTGCCGCCCCGTCCTTCGACACCGGTGCCGCGGATGTCAACGCTCCGTACTTCTACGACGGGGACCAAAGCGCCGCCTACTCCTACGACGCAGATCCGAACGTCTATCTCACGTATCCCAGCACCTCTGGGACGTACGAGAACGATGCTCTGGGTTCGTACCCCTCGAGCGCCGACAATTCCTACGAGTCCGGCGCTGACACCTACGATCATGGCGTGGCTGGCCCCTTCGACCCGTCCAAGGTCACGCATTCGTATGGCCCGAGCACTGTTAACATCACCAGCTACTATGGGCAGGCCTCCGCCAACTACTACCCACAGGAGCCAGACACCACCGAAGGACACAAGGACAATCCGCTCGCGAGAGCAGTTCAGGCCGTGAAGAACATGCCGCCTCGTTACGAGGGTCCGCCAGTCTATACCGAGCCTGCTCAGCGTCCCCCAAAAGAGAAACGCCAGTACTCGAAGACACGCCCGGGCCCTGCCATGTACCTTGGCCAGGGACCGCACAAAGAACTGGTGCCGAAGTCTGCTTCTTCCCAGCCCTCGCCTCCGGAGAGTACATATACGAGCTCTCCTTCGAGCTCGAGCGTCAGTAGCTCCCAGGCTCCACTCGCGAGGTCGCGCGAGGGGGTTCAGGCTGATGCTGAAAGGGCCGCGGAGGATGCTGCTCGCGCGGAGAAGGCACGACAAATGGCAGCCAGGCGTTGTACGCCGGCCGTGCCAATTCCGGCTAACCTCCTCTTCGTCGACCCCGAAGGCGCAGTGATCCACCCGCCGCCATACGCTCCAGTAATCTCAACCCCTCGCAAGTCTTCGGGGTCATCCCGTCGCCGTTAAAGAAGTTGTCTCAGCTTTGCATCAATGTTACTCACCGATCTCGTCGCCGTTATTTGCTCGTCAACGTTATTTGCTCATCGCCGTTATTTTCTCATCACCGTTATTTGCCCATCGCTCTCGTGCATAGTCGTCTGTTACGGTCCGTTGCTCTCGCTTTTCTAGTTGGTTCCGTCGAAGAAAGGATCTTTGTCGTGCTCTGCAATGGGCCTGTCGCTGCATGTATCATGTCACGCTTTGTAAAACCTCACTCTCGTTGTAGTCCTGTTTTCCAGTATTGTTCTCGTTGTACATATTCCCGTCACCGCGCTATCCCTGTTAACTTGTAGCTCGTTAGCACTGTCGTTACTTTTGCTGTCTCGTTATCGGAATGTATGCCACGCTCCTTACTGTATTATCGCCCTCGCAGAATGGATCTTGGTGATATGCTACGTCCTGATTGAGTGTTCTTGAAAGCCATGGTCGAGAAGTCGACTCCAAGACGAGGCGGAGGCGCGGGCGCGGCTGCTTCCGAGTCCGCACACGATCGGATCTACGCGCATGTGGCTTTGAGCATGTGCGCCGCAGTGCCAGTGCGCGGCCAGTTGCACTCAGGCTCTCTGACGGCTCGACGACCATTCATGATCCCTCCATCGCAATTGTCTAGCCTACCAACATATGCCTCATCATCAGCATCTCGCCTGAAGACGTTATACTCCGACTTCTCCCGCCAGAAACAATCAAATCCCACGTCTTATGCCTCAAATATCGAGTGGTGGCGGCGAACGCTAGAGGTCATCGTGCTGAAGGGTTGGCTGGCAGAGTCGGACTCCAAGTCCACGCACCCCGACCGACTCGTCCTACGTGCTAGCGGGTCTACGTTAGCGGATAACTTTCGGTATGAGGGTGTTGGAAAGCCTTTGGGTCTGCCTACAGTCGTAGTATGTCATCAACATCTAGCCCGTATGACGTCGCTCATCATTGATGTGCTAGCGTAGGCCGAGCTCTGCACGAGTAGAACGTACTTTCCTCTTTCCGACTTCCTCAATTCGACGAAATCTATCTATGACCCTGGCTGGCTGCCATACCGCATAGCCTCCTACGTCGTGGGCAAGCCGCTATGGTGGGCGCTGAAAGCAACTTAACGTCGTGAGTTCCGACGATGGTGCACTCGGCAACATCAGCTATAGCGAGCAGTGGAAGAGAGTGAAAGGCGACTACGTCTTGCTGAGCTTACTCGAGAGGGCCGCCGACAACGTTCTACTCAGGCAGCGAAGCAAGGGTGCCTGTCTCTGGCCGATTCATTGTACAACGCGGAGAGCTTCCGGAGAGAATTTGAGGAACATGCACTGGACGGCGTCGTCTTGTCAGAGCTGGATATCCGTGTTCTGCTGAGGTACCTTGAGCGTGACAAGAAAAGTCTAGTCACGCAAGGAGGGGTGCGTTCAACACTATTCTCGAAGTGGCCAGCGCGACTGACAATACGCTCTAGGTCATCAAGTTCATCGAGCCCGACTTAGCTGAGCAAGCTGAGATCACCGCCGTCGATGCTGGTGTGCTGGAACTGAAGGCCGCGGTAGACAAACTGCAGGCTCAGGTCGATAGCATACAGTCGAAGATCAGCCAGTTGAGTCTTCAGCTTCAAACCTCTCCCTGTTTCTGACGTCGGTGCCTGCGTCTCAGACGGGCAGAGCAGATCACGACAGCACTCCGGCAGAAGAGGAAGGAGATCGCGCTCAGCCACTTACGTGCCAGAAGCAACTGGAGGCGCTGCTGAAGCAACGGTTGGGCTCACTGGACACGCTGCATTCCACGCTCCTCCGCGTGGAACAATCTGCCGGTGATGTTGAGGTTCGCCACTTCTTGCCATGTAAACACGGCACGAAGTTGTTAACGTCTCCTGCAGATCATGAAGTCCTACGAGTCGTCTACGGCTACGCTACG